TTTTTTTTTGAAACTCAACTCATTCTTTTTCTAATTCAGTTCATCGAAAACAGACTGATCGGCAACTCAGACTCAGCTGACTTTACGGAAGCATGGAAATTGAAATTCAGTCATGCTCCAACATGGTGCGATGCCGACATGGCCTTACAACAAATTCGAAGGGTATGTCATCTATAAATAGCCTCCATTTCGCTTATATTGCTGATAAGAGAGATCTTTAGGGTGCAGCCCGTGGTAATAGGATTGCATTGTACTCCAGAAGTTTCTTTCAACAGTGCCTATTTCAAATTGGCTGTTTTGTTCAGCGATGGGCATGGACAACAGTTATTGTTTCGTGAGTTCATAGGAACAAAATTTTGATTTCTCTTTGTGAAAAAGTCAATTACAGATTAATTCTTTATACTGCCTGCTGTGCTGGTCTTAAAGATGTTATTATTGAAACTGATATTGTCAAATTATGGGTATCGCGTAAGTTGATACTACCCCTTACACACTGCAAAAAGTCCTTTGTTTCACCACATTAATAATGATTGGTTCTTTTAGAAGGAGGTCGATTACACGATGAACTTAATTTCTTATCAAATGTACAAGCCGAGGCAAGAAGGGTACGTTTTCTCTATATTTAGTAAAAAGCCTTGTCATTTGACCATTTTCTGTGGCTGCACAAAAAGCAACGAATCCAAATACAGGGTCCATTGATCGAAGGGCTCATTTAGCTTTAGCTGCGTATTCAGATTGGAATATAAAAGGTGTTTCGTACATTTGTTCTTTAAATTGGGATACGCTACCTCACCAAGAGTTCCTACCATTTCCAAAGAACTTCGAGACTGTTTTTTAAATTGTATATGCCAATTCAGAAGCTAATTTTCATCGTTGTTTTTTTTTGAAGCTAAGATTTATGATTGAACAAACGGGTAGAGAAAGTTACGAAAAAACTAAGAAATTGTAAAACCGACAAAGCAAATCCGCGATAGCATTTGACAAACAATTATTTACTTCTAACCGATAATTACCACCTCTTTACGAATAAACCCAAACGTAGACGACTATAATAATCTCTATATTAGATATCGAAACGAGAAATTGATCCAGACTCTAGTCATGTTCGAGTCCGGAGAGGACCAGAATTGCCGCGAGAAAATGGGCTCGGTGGAGGATTTCAGGTAATTTTGATTTACATAAAGAAATCTTAAGCTACGGCCTGGATTACAGCAGCAATGATTATATTTCTGAGTTTTAGGTTGTTATTCAAACTCCACTACATGAGAATGAAAATGTTTTATCACAAGAGTCACTTCTACGACATGTACAACTTATGGAAGAAATCTCAAAATACGAGGTGGATTTGTACGGCGAGTAAGTTTTCGACATATTTGACAAGTTGGATAATTGATTGAATGTTATGCAGTTTTTTCTTGAAATCAATGAACCAACTGTATTTCTTTCCCTTCAGGAAATGGACGCTTAATGACATCTGCTTTAAACCGCCAGGCCCAAATTTCAACACTGGACCACTAGCTAAGGTAAGGATATTTGTGACATTAGTTAAACTAAGGTCCAGGTTTGAGATTTGACTTCTCAGTTAATTTTTAAAACTTGTCTAGTAAAAATTTGATTCTACATGAACCTTAGAATCTATCATTTAGCTGATGAACACATTACTCGACAAGATCATCCCTTGTATATGGATCACTCCCATCGACTGCTACTGGGAGGGCGCAAAGCCTTTAGGACCAAATCCGCCAATAAATCTGGGGTAACTTTCTTGGACTTATCGTAATTACTCAAGGAATGAATAAAAATTTTGGAATTAAGCTGATTTTTAGCTCATTTATCGAATCTTATGTTGTAGAACAATTACGTAAAATACCAAAACTTACATATTTTTCAAAATTGAGGAAAAGCTAATATGAGATAATCAATACTGTCCCATTGTATTGAAATTATTTGTTGTGATACTTTGCCCGTAATTCTAATTCTTTCAGCGATGAAGTTAGCGCCTTCATTTCATCACTTCCCAAGGGTAATGTTACATGGAAAAATCTCAACCCTACCGCTGTGATGACAGAAGTTGGCTCGCTTTTCGATCTCGGTCCCATAGGAAACTTTTTCGAAAGGGTATGTCCCCGCATATCGGCTTGATCAGTTATAGATCATCTACAGGACCCAGCTTTTAGGCAGGAATTGGTGCTGCATACCTCGATCGTCCTTGTATTGATCCTTTGGATTCTGAATGCCCGAAGTCCTCACCAAACTATTTCGACAGATGTGCAGCATTGGAAAAGTTTAACGAATGGAACATGGGAAAGGGTGATGCTGAAAAGGTTTGTATCTTTAACGAGAAAGGTAACTAAAACCTCTAGAAATGAAAAATAAATTTTCTTTGCCAATCTAGAAAGAGATATATCTTGAACTGTTTGCATGCGTTACTTTTTGATTGCAAGTTTCTTTTAAGCGGCTTTTACCACATTACCCTTATTTCAATATAAATATAATTGGGAATAATAGAATGCCAATGATGTAAGTTAACTCGCAGGAGTAGTCACGCATAAATAATCTTCTTGTATTAAATGCTTTTTTCCCCCTTCAAAAATGTTAATTCTCAAAGTTTATAGATTCAACTCGAAAAGAAAGAGCTACCTAAGGAAAAAGACATGGATGCTGCATCGAAAATTCTTGAACCTTTGCTGGGTGACATATTCGGTAGCCATTTTTAAAAGCGACTATCGTGAAGCTCTGGAATTTGCTGTGATGTTTAAGGTCGTAAGAAGCGTGATGTTGAGACAACTACGAAAAAGGACGACGATTATTATTCTTATGAAGATTCAGACTATGACGTAACCGGAATTAGCAATGTTTCTCGTAAGTTCTCGCTTTGCTTTACTTGTTTTTGTATCCAATCATGCAAATGTTTATTTTTAGACTCTGCCAAAAATAAGAAGGATCCCAAAGAAATTATGTGCCTTGAATACGGTGACTCATTGCTGAACTGGATGCGCACAAACCCAGATCGATGGGGAGAGTTTCTTACCGAGAAAGAGTTCCCAAAAAATCCGGATTTCAAAAAAGTAAGTGACAACAACTTCAGAGAAAAGTGTCGGTATCGAATGGTACAAACTCTGCTATTAATCCCTAGCTAATTTCAATAGCAATGTAAGACAAGTGTTGATTCTGAGAAATTTAGGTGATGACCGGTGGATGCAAAGGATTTGGTAAGAATATAATGGAATGGCCTGAAGACCTGATCATCGGCGGTCAGTATCTCCTTCTATTGCTTCTTGTCCAAAATGCTCTAATATCGCTTTTGTTTGCTGAATCAATGTAGCATTCAATTTCAGGGATCAAACGCGAAAGAGGTATGCTGAAGACTGCGGAAGCCCTCCAAAGTGTTTTCCTCGTAGCTAGCCCATTCGATGTCTTCCTTCGTTTCAAGGTAAAGACAGACCTGCTGAGTCCTGCAGAGGACTTAATAGTAAAAAAAA